AAACCCTAAATAGTAATTATGTTGCACTTTTAACCTTGGATCCAATGTAACTTAAAAAATTTACCGAGTCACAGTAAATAATTCAAAATTTAATTTTTTTTCTAAAAGAAAAAGGAAAACCAAGATTTTTTTTACTCTGACCGCTACATCGTTTTTTTAACCTTGGACCCACAATAAGTAATTGACCGCTACAATAAACCCTTATGTTGTACTTTTAACCTTGGACCCAATGTAACTTAAAAAATTTGCCGTGTTACAGTAAATAATTCAAAATTCAACTGTAGCGGTCAAAGTAAAAAAAATCTTAGTTTTTCTTTTTTTTTAAAAAAATTAAATTTTGAATTATTTACTGTAACTCAGTAAATTTTTTAAGTTATAGTGAGTCCAAAGTTAAAAGTGCAACATAATTACCATTTAGGGTTTACTTTAATGGTAAGAGTAAAAAAAAAAGATTTTGCTTTTTCTTTTTTTTTTAAAGAAATTTAATTTTGAATTATTTATTGTAACTCAATAAATTTTTTAAATTACAGTGGGCCCAAGGTTAAAAGTACAACATAATTACTATTTACTTTGACCTAAGGTAAATGATAAATAAAAAAATTAATTTTGAAAATAATGTAAGTTTTAAAATTTCATAATAATATTTTTAATTAGTAAATAATATTTGAACAATTAAATAATGAAATCTGAATTTTAAAATATTTTTAATGATTTAAATTTTAATAGAAATTGAAATTAAATTAAAAGACGAAAATACCCCTGATTCCGGTATGTCAACGGTCGGAAACAGTGAAATGAGACCAAAAAAGTTTGAAACATAATGTTTGGGACTTCGATATTGAAATGTTAATGTTAGGGACGTAAATTCAAGTAGGCCCAAATGTAAGAGATCATTTGAATATTTTATTCAATTAATAAACTTTGAGTCGAAGGGGACAAAGTTGACACCGAAAATAATGCAAGTAGGAGGTGTCCAATCTGTTTGATTTTACTAGGCTTCCTTTCTGAGTTAACCGTGAAACTTAAGCTAAGTTCGAAACCGCCTCATTTTAGTGCTTAAACTTCTCTATTTTTGCCAAGTAGAGCAACCATTACGTTATTATTTTCTATTCTGCTTCTTACCTTACAAAGCTTAAGTTAAAGGTTCAGTAGCCAAGCTTCCCTTCTTCTTCCATAAATCAACTCCGTGCTCCTACCATTAAAATATACCATATAGCTATTGATTCCCTTTCGCTACTTTCCAACGGATTCGATTAGAAGAGAAACCCGTAGCCTCCATTTGTGAACTCCTTTGTCTAAACTGAGGTTATCAGCTCAAACCCTGCTGACGAAGCTTCGATTTGTACGGTGCTTAGGACGGGCGGTGATGATGACCTAGGCGGCGGTGAACGGCCTAAAACCTACAAGACAGAGCCTCGGGTGTCTCCTGAGGGTAGACTCTCCGATACTTAAGTCAATAAGGGAATAAAGATAATAGAGAGAGAGAGGGATGTGTATCGTGTGTAGAAGGTGTAAAAGATAGGTAGAAAATATGAATTATGGGAGAGGCACCACCTCTTTATATAGAGGTGGTGTTACTTGTTTTCTGAAACCCTAGCGGAATAGGTTTAGGCGGTGGCTTAATCTCCAAGTAACCTAATCCTAGGCCCAATAGGCCTAGGGTTTATTTCGAACTCGTCAAATGTCCCTAACAAGCCATATTCTCGAGACTTGATGAGAAGGATATGTGTTGCTACGAGTGTTGATATCTTCTCATGGTGTTGCCCCAGTTCTTGAACTCTTTCGTTCTCGGGTGTCACCTATATAAAATAAAAAGAATAAAGTGCCTCGAGGAGGTCTTTGTATTAGTGCCTGATTAGAAGGGGGAAGCCTGTGTATGCCGAATTAGGAGGATGACACCTAGATTCTCTTATGTGAAGGTGAGAAGCCTGTAGTTGCTTGTCTTGCAGGTCTTGTGGCTGTGCCCGACTAGTAGGTCTTATTTGACCGTTGCCCGACTAGCAGGTTTTTGTGGGTCGTGCCCGACTAGCAGGTCTTATTTAAACTTGGTGCTTGACTAGCAGGTCTTTGTGGGTCGTGCCCGATTAGCAGGTCTTATTTAAACTCGGTGCCCGACTAGCAGGTCTTTCGTTGATATGCAATTTCGCTCGAAAGAGGCAATATAATAATATGTTTATTGAAGATAAGTCAAAGCTTAACAGTAGCAATATTCTAAATCAAAGCATCGATGTGCTAAATTATTTAAACAGAATATAAAAGTAAGATGCATACTTGTTGGAGAGAACCTCGAGGAGTCTTTATGGTATCCTAAATGAAACGTGAGGCTCACCTGGAATTTCCCCTGAGGGGTTATCTTGATTAGCCACATACTCTCAGAATTTTCCCTTCTCAAGCCCTTCCTCGATTTGCTCATTTAGTGCATGGCAATTCTCGATGTCATGCCCATGATCTTTATGAAAAGAACACTATTAGTGTCTCGGGCGCTTACTTGGATCTGTTGACATGGACGTGGTACTTTCAGCTCATGCTTATGGACCTCTAGGATTTCAGCTCGAGGACGAGTTAAAGGCGTATAAGCATCTGCCTTTCGCTTTGCTCGGTCATGGCCTCTTTCTCGATCGCGATTGTGTTCTAGTTCTCAGTCACGATCTACCCCGAGGCCTTTAGCCTTGTACTCGAGCGACCTCTTCTTATAAGGGTGCAAGCTATCTCGTGCTCGACGTAAATCTTCTTCTGCTCGAACTTCAATTTCAACCACTGAGAAGAGTTGTTGCAATGTATGTGGTGGCTCTTTTGTTAGCTTTTGTCGCAAAGTAGCAGGTGCCCCATATGGATAAAGACCATTGATGAAGGTTGCAACAATAGTCTCTTCAGATACTCCTTCGACTTGAAGTTGTTCTTTGATGAAGCGGCTATAATACGCTCCAATAGATTCTTCTCGATCTTGCTTGAGAGACATTAGCTCAGTAATCGTCTTGCGAATCTTCTTTCCTTGGAAGAACCTTGTGTGAAACAAGGTTCCCAACTCATGAAATGACTGAATACTCCTCAGAGGCAGCGTTCCAAACCAAAGTTGTGCTTGCCCCATGGGATAAGTAGGAAATGCCTTGCACAAGAAATCATTAGGAGCATTCCTCAATCTTATTGCATTCTTATAAATTTGCAGGAATACCATAGGATCGGTATCTCCTCCGTAAGCCTTCAAATCCGGAAGTTCAAACTTCTCGGGCATTGGTGTTTCTCGGATGCGTTGGATGAATGGACTGTCGTCTTCCTCCGTATCTCCTTCAGATCCGAGAACCTTGCGCAATTGCTCCTCGATGGTGGAGGGTACTCGAGACGAAGGTACATTCACTCGAGGGGGATAGGTTTCTTCTAGAGTTACAAGATGATGTCCTCGAGAGATGCCCCCAGGGTTTTCCTCTTCCGAGAAGGTACCCAGATTGTCGACCAAGTGCTGTCGCTGGTTACTGTCGAGTTCGTGAAAACTCTTCACAAAATCTTAGAACTTGTTGAACAAGGTGGGTTGAAATTTAAAAAAAGCCTCCATAAGGTTTTGATCAAACAAACCACCAGACGGCCTGTTAGAGGGTGGCCCTAATGGAGTTGCCTGCTTGTCTTTTTCAGCGGCAGTAGCAGGGGTTTGTTGCTTTTTTTCCGCCATTATGATGTTGTTGTTGCGCAGCGTAAAGCACCAAAAAATTCCAACTTCGCTTCAAGAAATTTATTTGGTTGTAAAGACCAAACAAATCGGTCCCACTGAGCTTGCCACTTGACGAAGCTTGGATTTGTACGGTGCTTAGGACGAGCGGCGATGATGACCTAGACGGCGGCGAACGGCCTAAAACCTGCAAGACAGAGCCTCAGGTGTCTCCTGAGGGTAGACTCTCCGATGCTTAAGTCAATAAGGGAATAAAGATAATAGAGAGAGAGGGATGTGTATCGGGTGTAGAAGGTATAAAAGATGGGTAGAAGATATGAATTATGGGAGAGGCACTACCTCTTTATATCGAGGTGGTGTTACCTGTTTTCTGAAATTCTAGCGGAATAGATTTAGGCGGTGACTTAATTTCTAAGTAACCTAATCCTAGGCCCAATAGGCCTAGGGTTTATTTCGAACTCGTCACCTGCCACCCGTTGCTATGTTAGAGCATCATATGGAAAGGAAAGCAAAACCAAAATAAGGAAGTGATCTAGCAAGAAAGTCAATTCGGTTTATCGACTTCCCTCGTGGCAAAACAGTAAGATTAGTTATTTGATTCTTTCTATTTTCTGTCGTGACCTCAAATAGCTTGTAAGGCTCAGTATTTGAATTTAAGAAATGAAATCGGATGAGGGAATGAGAATTCTGGGGGTTGCCAGTGATGCTGTTTAGACTTAAATGAACAAACTTATTGAAGTTGGTCTTTGCGATTGTCGAGGGTAAATCCCGGAAACGAAGCCAACGGCCCGACCTAGACTGGAACATGCAAAAAAGAGGTTAGCACTCCGAAGGTCAAGTCAGTCCTTTGAGATAATTTGTTACCACACTTAGAGAGAGAAAACGGGAGTGTGGAAAAATTGGGAATGTAATAAATGAATCAGGGAGTATTTATAGGTCCCCAATGGGACTATACCTGTGGACCCTCTGTCGAGAGGGGCAAAAGTGTAAATAGACATGTGTTAATTCTTTGTGGATCACCTGGGCCCAAAAGAATTAACCAAATGGACGAGTTGGGTCCATGAACTCAGCCCAAGTTAATGGGCCGATTGGGCCGGTCCTGGATGGTCAAAAATGACCTCCAAAAAATGCCCCTGTCCAGCCCAATACAGGGGAATCGGGTTGGGCTGGACACAGAGAAACCGAAGGCCCAGTCGGAAGAGCCCAAAAGCCTAGGACCTTCCTCCATTAGATCACTACGGATCCAACAGTCGGGATCTTCTACATTCAACGGATCCAACGGTCGGGATCTTCCATATTTAACGGATCCAACGGTCGGGATCTTCTATATTCAAACGGGATGGACGCCCAGGATTTCATGGAACGAAGCGCCGCAATGATGGCGCCTGAAGGTAACCGATGCGACTGTTCGCATCCCTTGGGGGGGATATATATACACCCCATAGGACACAGAACTTCATTTCCTCCCCTTTGTTTTCTCTCCCAGGTGTAAACACTTAAGCTTTATTTTCTCTCCTCAAATCTTTTCTACTTCGTAACCGAGGGTGCTTCTCAGCCCAGAGATCGGAATTGAAGCCGGCGTAAGTACGGGGGTGAATCTTAGCCGACCACAGACAAGTAAGTTTCTTTCTTTTCTTGCTCCTTCGATTTATCAGATGGCCAAGGAAGTAGTTAGGGTAGAGGACGTAGAATGTTCGTTAACCCAAGAGAGGCTGGGTGAGTTGGAGAGCTATTACAGCCTTACGGCCATGAACCCCACATTACCCGAAAGCCATGAGAGAGCCAACACTCCTCCTCCGGGGAAGATTACGATATACGAGAAGTTCTTGGAATACGGATTGCAGTTTCCCTTGATGCCTATGTTTAGGAAGATTGTAGAGACTTATGGCCGACCCCTGGCCAAATACACCCCGAACCTCATAACCATAGTTCTGGCCTTCGTGCACGTGTGCAACAAGATGGGGGTGGAACCAGATATTTTCTTGTTCAGGTGCTTTTACAAGCTCGTCCGATGTGGGAAGAGCTTTCCCGGGTGGTTCAGCTTCACTAAGAATCCGCACGGACGTTCCAAGGAGTTGGTAGCAAAGAACGAGAGCTCCAAACATTGGAGGTCGGGATTCTTCTACGTGGACGCGAACTTCGTCTCTCTTTTTCCGTGGACGTCGGACGAGGGAGGGACAGTCAGCTTGGATCCGTGGACCAGGAAGGACAAGAAAGATATTGAAACCCGGAGGAGGGACTTGGAGAAGTTAGCCAGCTAGAAAAAGACCTATACCTATAGGCAAATTGCGTCGCTAAGCGACCGGATCAGCTCTCGTAATCAAGGTATCTTACCCGAAGATTAACTCTGGTTATTTTCTGTTGATAGGTGTATTTGCTAATTTGATGGGCAAACATTCGGCTTTTGATGATTCAGACGAGGAAGAGCAGTATGCTGAAGAGGGGCCGCAAGAGGTCGCCCTGCCTGAGACGGGGGCGGCCTCCTCCGGCAGACGACGAGGACGCCCGTCGAGGGTTCCAGGAGGGGGAGCTCCTCCGGCCGATCCTCAGGTCATTTGAAGAGGAAGAGGGGGGCCTCGGAGGTTGTGGAAGTGGATCCGCTGTCCTTTAGCCTCCCAGCGATCCATGAGTTGTCCTCCTTGGACGATCTCCTGAAGGAAGGTTATGCAGATTCGGGCCGGGGCACCGATCTGTTCGAGGATATACCCGCGGGCCACGCTCTGCTGACCTTCGACCCTCCTCGGGTCGAGTGCTCTGAGTTACCCGAGACTGGAGCGACGAGGCTGGATGATGGCATGAGAGAGGTGAGTTCTTTTGTTTTTACTTCAAGGGTTCTATCCCCGTAAATGTGTTCCCTCACCGACCTAGGATGCTCTCATTGCAGGCCGTGCAGGCAGTCAATACGTTTGTGATAGTATGCGCGGGCCTGAGAGAGCAGCTGGCCTCGGCCCAGAGGGTGGCCACGAGCGAGGCCAATAGGGCCAGAGACACGGAGGTCATGTTTAAGGCCTCGGAAGGGAGGAGAGAGCATCTAGAAGAAGAGAGGAAGCGACTGGAAGAGGAGGTTGCGAGGGTGAAGGCACAGCTCAAGGACGCAGAGCTGACCCACCGCCTCGAGATGGAAGGCTTGCTAGCCACGAGTGTCCCGAAGTCTGGGCTGGACACGTACATCTTGGCAGGGGTCCAGCGGTACCTGGGGTCGACCGAGTTCGCCCTCGGAATAAACGATGTCATGGACCCCGCCATGGAGAGGGGGGCGAGGAAGGTCGTTTTGGAAATCGAGGCGGCCCAGAAGAAGAAAGAGGACATCCGGCCCATCCTCGAGAAGTATGCTGACAGGGACAGGAAAGGGAAGATGTCCGCGGTGCGACTGCAGTGCAAGGCCCGGAAACACTTCTGAGATATGGATTTTGCCTGTCTCTCCATCATGCAGCAGATTTTTGAAGCCTGCGCCTCCCCTTCAAAGCCCGAGGACATTCTGAACATTCCGGACAGTCCCTCGTTCGTCTTTCAGATGCCGAGGGGAACCGAGACGCTCCCTAGCACGCCACCGGGACCGGAGGAGGAACCCGAGATAATAGCATCCGATCCTCCACCCCAAGGACATAACTCTGGCAGCCGAGGAGGAGGAGGAACGTCCACGGATTCCAACGCCCGCAGCGGAGACAAGATGAACGACGCATAGGGTTAGGATTCCTAGTAATCATGTTCCCGGGGCTTTTCCTATTGTATCTGAATTTTGATTATTTTTTGAAAAATAAAACTTATGTTTATTCTCCGTCTCTCTTGTTTCGCACATTCAGACTTATCACTGTGTTTATTTTAACGGAACAACTTTAATCGGAAATTTTCAGTTTATAGTCTGCATATAAGCATCTGTTCCTCGGCGCAAACTTGTTTTTATCTTTGGGGATGCGCGTCCACAGGGCTCGTTGCTAACACGCGCTTCCTTACAGGGGAAGGGCACGACTTCGGACTTCCCCTCTCACCCTGACGGAACCTCCCGAGGGTTGCCCGTGACCCCGGGTCTTTGGGAAACTTCAGGGATCCCGTGGATTGACATGCAGTTGCCCGACCCTCACCACGACCCTACGGCCTTTCCACTTTACGCGGCCGTAGGAGGGGCCTTGGCAGATCCGAACGTCGATAGGGGTCGAGGACGACTGTCAGGTCTTGAAGGGCAACTCGAAGAGGCTCTGCAAACCTTCCGGGCCTCGGAGTTGCACGAGGCACGTAAGGCCGTTCTCGAGGCGAAGGCCGAGAACGACTGGTTGGATAAGTTATGGCGGGATACGGAAGCTTATCGGGAAGACCATCTAAAGAATTCCATACAATTAGAGATGTTGGCTAACAATCGCCTTCGGACGTTCGAAGCCAAGATACGGAAGAAGAAGAAGGATGAGGGTTTAGCCGAACCCGATCCGGAAGATTTTATCCCCCGTAACTACTTTGAGAGCGTGCTGGTACACCTCTGAGAGGCTTATGCCTTGGTCGCCGTGAAGTGGGATTGTTCCTCTGATAAGATCGAGGCTCTTCGGGCATATGCCGGACAGCTTCGGATGGCGTTAGAGAGCGCGATATCCTTCATTGTGGAGACGGGGAAGGAATATGACTTCGCGGCATTGTGGCCCGAACCCTGTCCAGCTATGAGAGACGAGCCCACTTCTCCGACTCGTGAGGCCGAACGCTTGATATACGAGAACGATGCTTTGTTCTTCGAGTTGGGTCGGGGGTCTCGTTAACATGTGATTAGGTTAAGTTAACCCTGTATTTTTTGTCAAGTGTATAGGTCTGAGGGCTATGTACATGAAAATTTTTAAGAAATTTTGAGCTCCCCTTTTTGACCATTGACCCCGAATACATCATTTGTTTTGTTCACTTGTTTTATTATTGTTATTCATGTTTTTACGGTTGTGTATATGAAATTCTTTTTATTGCCGGCATGTTGCTATCGTTTGACGGAAGCGATAGCGATAGGAGTATCTTCCACCGGATTTCATATTTCGACCGTATTGCTGTTGTTATAATGATCGGTAGGTGTTCAATTGGGTCTTACCTTGACGGAAGGTCATCGGGGTTAAGCAGGCCGCGGAGGCCACGTGGTGCCGTCGGTCACCGGGGTCGAGACGGCCTTGTAAATACCCCAAGGTCGCGGAGACCGTCGGGGTTCCGCAGGCCATGGAGGCCACGCGGTGCCGTCGGTCACTGGGGTCGAGACGGCCTTGTAAATGCCCCAAGGTCGTGGAGACTGTCGGGGTTCCGCAGGCCGCGGAGGCCACGTAGTGCCGTCGGCCACTGAGGTCGAGACAGTCTTGTAGATGCCCCAAGGTCACGGAGACCGTCGGGGTTCCGCAGGCTGCGGAGGCCACGCGGTGCCGTCGGCCACTGGGGTCAAGACGGTCTTGTAAATGCCCCAAGGTCGCGGAGACTGTCGGGGTTCCGCAGGCTGCGGAGGCCACGCGGTGCCGTTGGCCACTGGGGTCGAGACGGCCTTGTAAATGGCACTGGTAGGAAAGCACGGGAGGTTCTTTTATATATTCGCCAAAAGTGTCGAAACTTTCCTATGCTGATATCTATTACAAAAGAGGGCAGGGGCCTTTTTAAGCATTGAACTTTTTCAGATTCTGGATGTTCCACCATCGGGGTATGGCACGGGGCTCATCATCGCATGTGCGCAGACGATAACTTCCCGAGGGGGAAACTTCCACGACCTGATACGGCCCCTCCCAGTTTGGAGCTAGCTTACGGGTTGGTTCGGTGTGGCTTACCTCATTTCGGCGGAGGACAAGGTCTCCGACATCGAAGTCCCGAGCCCGAACCCTGGCATTGTAGTACTTGGCCACGATCTGTTTGTATCTGGCTTCGCGGGCCTTGGCCAGGTCTCGACGTTCGTCCAGGAAATCGAGGCACAAGCGGACTTCGCCTTCGTTCATTTCTTCTGCAAAGTTGACCACACGGGGGCTGGGGACCTCAATCTCAGCTGGAAGGACGGCCTCCATACCGTAAACAAGGCTAAAAGGGGTTGCCCCTGTTGCCGTTCTCATGGTAGTGCGTATGGACCAGAGGATGTGTGCCAGCTCCTCGGGCCACAGCCCCTCGGCTTTCTTAAGTCGCTTCTTCATGCCTTGGAGGATGGCCTTGTTTATGTTTTCAGCCAACTCGTTGGCCTGAGGATGGGCCACGAATGAGAACCGTTGTTCGATCCCCAACTGTTCACACCAGGATGAGAAAATCTTTGATTCAAACTGGGTCCCATTGTCCGAGACGAGAACCTTCGGGATTCCAAACCGACAGACTACGTTCTTTCAGAAGAATTTGGCCACGTTCTCCCCTGTGGTGGAAGCAAGAGGCTCTGCCTCGACCCATTTAGAGAAGTAGTCGATCGCGACAATCACAAACTTGAGCTTGCCCGAGGCCACGGGGAATGGCCCTATTATGTCCGTGCCCCACTTGTAGAAAGGCCAAGGGCTGGTAATCGGGACCATTTCGTGCTGGGGGAGGCGCGGAATGGGAGCATGTCTTTGGCATTGCGCGCACCGAATGACAAGGTCGTAGCAATCCCTAGCCAGAGTAGGCCAGTAATACCCAGCGCGGATCAACTTTTTAGCCAGATTCCGCGAACCCAAGTGTCCCCCACAAGCGCCCTCGTGCATGCTTCGCACCAAGGCTCCTGCCTCCCGCGGGCCCACGCAGCGCAGCAGAGGAGTCAGATACCCTCGCTTGTAGAGGATCCCGTCCCTGAGCAGATACTTAGGCGCTTTGAGCCGAATCCCCCAGGCTTCCCTCGGGTCTGACGGCAATGTTCCCGTTCGGAGGTACTAAATGAATGGCGCCATTCAGGAGGCTTCGTCAAGCAACACGGGCAAGGATTCGTCTTCCAGAATGCTTGGGCAGGTCTTGACTTCGATGTGGATACGCTGGGTCAAGCGCACGGCGAGGGAGGAGGCCAACTTGCTTAGGGCGTCAGCCTTCTTATTTTGTGACCCCGGAATATATCGAATGTGGAAGGCGCAGAAGCTGCGTTCCAGCGCCCTGACTCTTTGAAGGTATTTCTGGAGGGTCGCTTCCCGAGCTTCGTACAGCTGGAGGACATGATTGACGACCACCAGAGAGTCACTGCAGACCTACACCTCCTGGACTCCGAGGGCGCGGGCACTTGAAAGCCCAACGATCAGCGCTTCGTACTCGGCCTTGTTGTTCGTGGTGGGGAAGTCCAGTTGAATGGCATAGACAATTTCTGACCCATGGGGGTCGGTCAAAACCACCCCCGCACCCGAACCTTCCCTGGATGCAGATCCGTCCACGAACAGCGTCCAACCTTGCGATCCGGCAGGGGCCAAGGGGGCGTCTTGAGGGCATTCTTTATCCGCGGCTTCCATCCCTCGGGGAACTTCGACAAGGAAATCGGCCAGGGCTTGACCCTTGATTGAAGTTCGAGGCCGAAACTGTATGTCATGCTCCCCGAGTTCCACAGCCCATTTAGCTATCCGACCGGACGTGTCGGACTTTCGGAGAATTTGCTGTAGGGGTTGGTCTGTAAGAACGAGGATTGGGTGTGCCTGGAAGTATGGGCGCAACTTTCGGACAGCAGTCACAAGGCAGAACATCAGCTTCTCCGCCATAGTGTATCGGGACTCGGCGGGTTTCCCCTATGTTCCCGCACCAACGCTGCACTCACGGTGGAGTCTCTCACGGCCAGGTACAAAATCAGAGTTTCCCCCGGGTCGGGCGTGCTCAAGGTCGGAAGAGTCTTCAAGTGCTCCTTAAGTTTGATAAAGGCTTTTTGACACGCCTCAGTCCAGCCGAAGGCGTCAGACTTTTTGAGGACCTGGAAGAAGGGCAGGCTTCGTTCGGCCGCCTTTGACAGGAACCGTCCTAAGGCGGCGATCGAACCTGTAAGCCTTTTTACCTCTTTGACGGAACGCGGGGCTTGCATGTCCAGAATGGCCCGAATCTTCGTAGGGTCTATGTCAATTCCTCTTCGAGAAATCTGAAAACCCAAGAACTTTCCTGACCCGACGCAGAACACACAGTTTTTAGGTTTCAGCTTCATGTTGGACGACCGGAGGGTCTGGAAGGTTTCTCGGAGATCGTCAACCACGAGGTCCGTCCTATGGCTCTTCACAACCATGTCATCCACGTAAACCTCTATGTTCCGTCCCAGCTGGCTTCCGAAGATACGGTTGGCCATCCGTTGGTAGGTGGCTCCCGCATTCTTGAGCCCGAATGGCATTTTTACGTAACAAAACATCCCCTTCTCAGTGACAAGGCGGTCTTCTCGGCATCATCCTCGTGCATAAGGATCTGGTGGTACCCTTTATACGCATCAAGGAAGCTAAGTATAGGGTACCCCGAGATAGCGTCGACCTTCTATTCAATGGCGGGAAGGGGATAGCAATCCTTCGGGCAGTGTTTATTGAGATCCTTGTAATCCACACACATACGCCAGGAAGAGTCGGATTTCTTGACCATAACGGGATTAGCCAGCCATGTAGGGTAACAGATCTCCTTGAGGATGGACGCGGATAAGAGCTTGGCGACTTCCGCATCGATGGCAGCATTGCATTCGGGGGCCATCTTCTGTCTCTTCTGCTGTATGGGCCGGGCCTGAGGATCGACATTGAGTTTGTGCACACCCAACTTGGGGGGAATTCCCGTCATGTCGGTGGGGCTCCAAGCGAAGAC